GGCCCCTTTATTTGGGCCATGGAAGCAAAGAAAGAGTTTATTGGATTTTCTGAAAGCTTTTGTCCTTTCGACATAGAACGTCAGGGCACGTCTGACATCGAGATTGTGGAGCATACGCTTGAGGGGTGATGACGGAGAGTTGAAGAAGCAAGGTAGTATGATGGGTTGGTTGAGGTGGAAGTCAGAGACCACCTTAGGAAGGAAGGAAATATCAAAATAAAGAGTCACCTTATCAGGGTGGAACTGGATAAACGGAGGATCTGCTCGAAGGGCAGCGAGTTCACTGGCCCGCTTGGCTGATGTAATTGCCACGAGGAAAGCTGATTTAAGGGTTAAGAATCTGAAGTCAATAGATGCCATGGGCTCGAACGGGGGCTGCATCAAGGCATTGAGGACGAGTTGTAGCGACCACTGAGGAGTGATACGCTGTTGAGGAGGGCGGATGTTGTTGAGCCCTTTGAGGAACAGTTGGGTGAGAAAACAACTTGGAAGAAGGGGAATTATCAGGTTGTTGAGCCATGATTGCTGATAGATAGACTTCTAACTGGATTACAGTACCGCTTCCTGATTTCAGCTACTATAGTTTGTATTCAGTTTTTTGGCTCTTCAAGAACATTGTTCATGGCTTTGTGTGGCCTAACCTGTTGTGCCTTGCATGCTATAAACGTTCAATTATGTTAGAAAATGGAGATTTGGTCTTATGCTGTGCATGTGCTAATGCTGGTGAATGGGATGAGGTTAAGCTTTGTGTTGATGTTCTTTTGCATAACCTAAAGTAAATAAGGAAAAACAGCTGTTAAATAGTTAATTCCACTATTTATCCTCCACACAACTAAAAGGGACCTCTCAATGCAGTGCCAAATCAGACAAACCATTTCTTACTTAATATAGGCTTGAGCTGTAGCTGGGCAGAGTTGCACAACAATCCCATCTGTCATTGAGACATTTCTATAAGCATGGGGATGAAAGGAAATGTAAAATATAGGTCTTATCACTGGCTGATAATGGTCTATATTAATGCCACTGTTGACTGCTGTTGACTTTACATGGTTCAAATGTTATTCTGTTATAGTTTATTAAATATTTTATTACACTATTTGGTTCAGAATATATGTGTTCCTCCTCTAAAAATAAGGTGTGTCTTAAAGTCAGGTGCGTCTTGTGGAGCAAAAAATACGGTAATCCAGACAAGACAGAGGAACTCCTCATCAGCCAAAGGCAGATCAGGGAATAGGGATTTAGCCTGTGCTAGATGGGGTTATACTGTGTCTGAAAAGGCAGCTGTGCAGCTTGGTTGCATTTTCTGATTCAGCCTTTAGCCAGACTGTTTAGCTCTTGGCAGAAGCCAGGAGTGCGTTTGCACAGTTAAGTGCAAACATTGATCATTCCTAGAGAAATTAGATCTAGCTGTGATGGCACCCACCTTGGTTACATCCATTTTGAGTTACTGTAATATGATCTATGTGTGGCTGCCTCTGGAAAATGATGTTGTGACTGGGCTGTTGACAGGAATCGTTTATACTGACATGTAAAACCCTATATGGTTTTGATGTAAGCTATCTTAAGGACTCTCTCCATATGAGCCTCTGTGAATCCTAAGGGGAAGCCTTTTTCTCCAAGTCTGCTGTCAGGCAGAGAGAGTGTGTTGTCTGACTGATCCCAGATTTTGAAGCTCGCTTCCAAGAAAGGCTTTGCTGCCCCCCTCCTTTCTGACCTACCAATAGGTGAAAACAGTAGCCAAAATCCTGTTATGCAGCTCCTCCAGTACAGTGAGAAAGATTGACAGCAGCAGATTGCTGCTAATTAAAGAGTTCCTGCTTCAGTTTTGGGTTGTGCATAAATTCAGCTCATTGTCCACAGGTTGCATGCAACCTGATATTGAAGCAGATTAATTAATAGCAATTTGCTGCCACCAGTGACATCATTGGCATCATAACAGGATACCAGCTATTTTTATTTAAACAGGCCTTTGACTGCTTGTTTGGACTAATTAATGGGAGGTGTAATTTTGCTGCTGCTGCTGCTGTTTTTAGAAAAATTATAGTTGGTTTCAATGATTTATAACTATGTTATTTGTTTTGATTTGACATTTAGTACTGTTCTGATGCTATAACTTAATATTTTTCATAAATGCACCTGCTCTTAAATAGCTGCCTTGGGTCCCACAAAGGAGGAGAGGCAGAATACAAATGAAATAAATAAAAGAGACACTAAAAGCATTGAAAAGAGAGATAATGTGTCTTTGTATCATTGCTTTCATTTTTGAGTGTTTTTATTCATTCTACTGTTTATATTTTTATTGTTATATTTATATATTATTATACTTTACTTTGTTGTGAACTGCCCAGAATAGTGTGTATGGACTAATGGATGAGTATATAAAATAAATAAATACATAAATAAAGGAATAAAGCAATGAAGCAATAAATAATGCAAAAAATAAAGGAATAAAACAAAGGGTAAAGATAGCAGATTGTAAAACCGAGATAAAACTAGTGTTAGTGAATGAAAGATTTCAACACAGAGGAACAAATTAAAACAGCAAGGTAGCACTGCAATATTGTAGACACATTGAAACTGTTCTTGAAATATTTGGGAGAAAAGAAACTTCATCTGATGGTCAGTGGAGGGGTAGACATATAAATGCCTGATGAACCTGAAGACAGCATTCCACATAGAGGGAATGCCATCACTGAAAAGGCCATCTGTTGTATCCCCTCTTAATTTACTTCATTTGGTGAGGGCACCGGGGAACAGATAGTAGCTCCAAACTATATACGTAAGACTTTGAAAAGTTTGAATTGGGCTCCAGAATGGACTGGCAGCAAGGTTCCCTCTAAGGCAGTGGTCCTCAACGTTGGGCCTCCAGATGTTGTTGAACTACAACTCCCAGAAGCCTTCGCCACCACCTCTGCTGGCCAGGATTTCTGGGAGTTGAAGTCCAAGAACATCTGGAGGCCCAAGGTTGGGGACCACTGCTCTAAGGTGTGTAGCTGTGCATGCGGCTTTCCTCCTCCATGCACCCACAGCAAGCATTTCGAACACCTTTGATTCTGGTTGTGACAGAACACTGTGCGAGTGAAACAGAGTCACATGCAAGTGAGTTAGAACTCCACCCAGCGGGGCTGAAAATTAGGGGGAACATTGATTGGCAGTCAGTGCAGTTTTCAAATAATTGGGATAACATTAGCCTAGTTCTATTCACCAATCTAACTGATCTGTTTCGAACAAATTAAAATTTCTAGATTTCTTTTTGTGAGGCAGCTCCCCCATGCAATATGATGGACTAATCCAATGGAGAGATTACCAAGACACAAATAACACTTGCAAGTTATGGATGTAGTTGGTATCTTACTGTAAGTTGATAAAAGATACTCTGGGCTACTAGCACAACTACTAAGGCCAATTGTGCCACCAGTGGCAATGACAGTTGGGGGGGGGGTAAGAGGATCCTATTAAAACTTGATCTTTCAGAAGGAGCACAATATACTTCTAAAAATGATGAATAGCACGTAAGCAGAAAGATGAGCTACCTACAGCAAATATGCCTAGACCTGGCTTCATTTCATTTGCCCTCAGTCCCCTTCCCAGAAATGTTTAAAACATTAATTGCCTCACTTGGATTAGATAAAAAGGAGAGATACAGCAGAGTGTTTTCTGCATATTGGTGACTTTTAAACACACGTCACATCCATAAATAGCCTCTCTCATTGGTTTCATGAAACTATTAGAAAACATGGGTGACAAAATAGAGTCCCCCAGGAGCTGCATGGTACAGCTGCCATAGAGCCAAGCAATAATACTCTAACACCCCTTGAATTGGCAGTCCCGGTTGAAGGACATAGGTACAGTGCCACAAAACCCAGCTCAGAAACTCTGTCCAAAATAAAATCACAGCTAAGATCTGGGAGAACCAGGAGAGTTACACTCTTCCATCTCTGCCCTGTCACAGAACGGAGACGTTTCTGCTTCAGACATATGCCTGAAACTAGACTGAAATGGATTAACAAATGAATTCAATCCAAAAGAGATTGGAGTGGACCAGCAACTGCTCAAAGATATTGCTCATGGAGAAGATGGCACCCATTCTGTAATTGTTTCATCTTCTGGGTGTAGATTAGGTTTCTTCAGGTCTGGCCTGATTACTGGGTTTTAAAAATAGAATGTAGAACTGACTCTCTCAAATTGGAGCTTGTCATCTCTTTGACCTACGTGGATGTCCCCTTCCTAGCTTGATGACCCAGAGGTCACTCACATGTGATTGGCCAGACACACCAGTAGCTTGTTCATATCTTCAGCTCTCAGCAACTGAAATTCATCCGACATACATGTCTAATTTTTGTGGCTATCTGTTTAAAATGGAAATAACAACTGCTGGAGGGGGATCACAGAATGGGAAGCAATTCTGTGACCCCACCCGAAGCCCCAATAAAAGTCAATCCTCCAAAGCTGCTTTTTTGTATGAAGAGAGAAGCTCCCCTTGGTGCCAGTGATAAATCAAGGCAACTGTAGTTTCCATACTTAAGTTGATAATTATACACGATCCTGACTATATTTCAGTTCAAGTACTGTTCTATATATACCCAGAAGCAATAAAGCAGATGACTAAGCTTTGTATCAAAACAGAGAGCTATTGTGGATGAACAGTACATTAAAATCACTGTTATTTGAAACTTCTACACAGAATCACCACTCTTCCAGAGGAAACTAGTTTAAATTCAAAAATTTAGAAACTAATCAGTTTCTAATGTGTGCAAAAGCTTCCATCAAGTTCATGAAGTGAACTGAAAAGATAGTAGGTATGTAATTCAGTTCTTTTTAGGTATTTATATTTTACTGCCTGTATGTTATAACCAAACTGTAATATACTTAGGCACTGGGTTATTGTTTCAAAATTCTGTGATTATGATCAAATAGAGTCTTATCTTTTAGTTTGTATATGGCTGTTGTGTTTTAATGCCTTGCTAATAAGATAAAAATGTTTTTTTTATATATTCCAGGGAAAAATGAAAAAGAAACCCTACAGAAAGAAAAAGGTAAGCTGCTGAAATTGTATGCCACACAAACATCTAAAGTTACTGGATTGGTATAAAGTTAGATCTTTCTGGGGCAAAGAAAATGGGCAGTTGTCCTTTTATGCTAGTTTTGAGATTTTATGTCAGAAATTGTGTTACAGGGCCAAACTGGAAGTGACGTGGAAATCTATGGTCATATTTTCCAATGTTTATCTACACCTGGCTGCTCTAAGGATGGATGTAGGCTAATTTTAAATAAAACAGTAGCAGAAACATATTTTTGATGAGTAACATGCATCTTTTTGTTTGGCAAAAAGCATATGTGAGGCCTCAAATTAATATGCTGGCAGGAATGTTATTACTTTACATAATGCTAACATTAAAACAATGTAAATTGCAGTTACTGGAAGTGAAGAAGCCAGTGCTTGTATTTCTCAGTGCATGACACGAGATGCAACTCCTGCACAATGGGGAGTGCATGTCTTGATTTCTTAACTAAGAAGTTGCCTCACCAATTTACAGTGTTCAGCTTACAGCAGTAGACATAAGTCATAGCAGTTTGGCCACTTACATTGTATCTGTCCTTCAGCTATCCTTTCTGGCTTTGGTGCTTTTGACAAAATGTCCTGAGTGTGGAAAATGTCACACGGGAGAGTGTATCGACTCTCACTAACATCATGACACTGATCCATTTGGACTCAACCCAAGCCAACAATTTTTTAAACCTATAAACAATGCATTAAGGATCCAGGCTAGCCAACTGTGTCAAATCAGTAAGATATATTTTTAGGCTTTTATGACTGGCATTTGAGAATAAAAGTTTGGAGCAGAATTCTTCTAGTGGTTCTGATCAGTATTAAATATTTGAATGTAACCACTGGTCTAGAATCTGCTATAAGTTTACTTAAGATGGTCAGCAGGTAAGTCATATTTAGAAACTTACCTTGCATTCTATAGGGACACTCTTTTTCTTTGTTTGGGTACACTGAGAATCTATATAGTTTTGGAAACCCTGCTTTAAATCAGTCATATGGCTACTGATGAATGTGTTCGTTTTGATCTCATCTGATTTTGCCTAGCAATAGAAAACACAAAATGTATCACTGCACTCCTGAGTAGGCTTCATTTTGCTGGCTACTTTTTGTGGGAGCAATGAAAGTCAGTGAGATGACATCATATATTTTAGAGTTCTGGACAACACCATTGGGTAGAGAAGATGCAGAGCTTCCATCCCTTATAATATATCAGGAACAGTTAGTCTAGCACAGACTAACGTAGTACCTCTTCTAAAATTATTCCCTTGCAATATGAATTCATGGCCTGAGTTTTTTTTTAACTTTATGATAGCAGAATATAAATTTTCTTCTACTTTTCTACTGCTTGGCTACCCAGAAAGGAGCCCAAGGAAAATGCAAAACAACTCTGTCCTGGGTTACTATCTCAAGAATAGTTTTGTCTCTTAATGCCTCCTTGCTACATTTTGGCCCAGTTTTGTAAGACGGGACGTGGTAGCGCTGTGGGCTAAACCGCAGAAGCCTGTGCTGCAGGGTCAGAAGACCAAGCAGTCGTAAGATCGAATCCACGTGACGGAGTGAGCGCCCGTTGCTTGTCCCAGCTCCCGCCAACCTAGCGGTTCAAAAGCATGCAAATGCAAGTAGATAAATAGGGACCACCTCGGTGGGAAGGTAAACAGCATTCCGTGTCTAAATCACACTGGCCATGTGACCACGGAAAGATTGTCTTCGGACAAACGCTGGCTCTATGGCTTGAAGAGCGGGATGAGCGCTGCCCCCTAGAGTCGGACACGACTGGACAAAAATTGTCAAGGGGAACCTTTACCTTTACCTTGTAAGAACCCAGGCTTATTTTGGATGCAGAGTACCTCACCCAAATAGACTAGACAGGCTAACAAACCATGGACTTTTAATCTGTGGTTAATTTTTATGTTAGAACCCTTATGGGAGAAAGTTCTATGGTTTGTTTCCCTCTCAAGAATCCTGAAAAATAAGCATTAAAACATGTGTTGGATCAGCACACAAGTAAATGTTGAGGATTTAGATTATAACGTGTTTTCTCATAACATCAGCAGAGAAGGAGATAAAGACATTTATTTTACACATGACTTATGTACAGTTCTGTGACCAATCAGAAAATACATGACTTCATTTTCTGTTACACCAAGTTTCATCATGTTCACAGCTGTACAACATTGAGTCTCAATCCTTGATACCCACCCCTGAATACAATTGGTACAGTGACTCAGGTAAAATCAGCCATTTTACATTTAACTATACATCACTAATATTTAATATATTTTCATATCAAAATCTCAAGAGTAAACTAACCACAGAAGCTAAAACTGGTGCTTAAGGCAGCATACACTAGCATCTTGGCTCATGTTCAATGAGCTGGAATTCTCCTGAGTTGTGTTGTGTTGTGATGTCCAAATACAGCACTGGCAGGTGCAGAAGGCTGTCATTTCCCTGTTATAGGAAAGTTAAGAAGATGATGCCATATGTTAGTGCAAGAATGTGATACCATATGGTGGATTGCCAATACAATGTCCTGTAGCAAATGGGTGTTCTTGGAAGGAGTTAATGAAAACATGCTTTGTGAGTGTTGGGAGAGGCGATTCTAATTTTCTATGGTGTACATATTGTGGTTTAATAGTCATCATTATAAATTTGGACATTTATCCAAGTCCTGTGAAATCAGAAATACACAGCTTCTGTCCTATTCACTCTATAAGCTTAATGTTGACCATATGCATTGCATTAGTACAAAGAGCTGAGTCCCCAGTAAACCCCAGAAAAGTATGTTCTCGAAGGACCTACCATGGCCTAGTGATTCGCCATAGCTCCAGAGATGACTGTGATTTGTTGAATTGGATTCTGGACGAGGGAGAGAGTGCAGCTGATTTTTTGCACTCTCCATACAAATGACTGCAACAGCTTTAACCAGTCACTGTATAATTGTAATTGTGCAATATAAACCCCTAATGTTATTTTGATCCAGTTTCCTATGTCTTCAAAATATAAGCTTAAAGTAATTGTCCAACGACAAAAACCTTTTTAAAAATCACAGAAATATGTTGTTCTTCAGTGTAGCTCTTTCCATTAAAAAAAAAAGATGCACCAACCTCCAAAGAGCTGTTACCTAATGAAATAGTGGATGATTAGTGATGCAAGTTTCAATTGTTCTTTATCTTATAATACTTTTATCTCATTTTAATCAGAATAATGGCCAAAGTGCATAAGTACGTACACACAAACACAAAAATATGGACTGAACAAGTGAGAAGACAAGATTTGCTTCAATATGCTAGGAAACTACACTACTGAAGTGAGCAACTAACTGAAGTCGCAAGATTCCTGTGGTTCTGAAACAATTCTTGTCCAATGTTTGAAAGCTCTTTTTCTTCAACTGTAGCAAGGGGGGAAAGCCCAATTCTGTATCCTTGAAGGAAATCCTGTTTTTCTTTAAATTCTTTTTTTTTCCTAGCTAAGAAGAAGAAACCAAAATTGCTTAATAAATTTGATAAAGGCATCAAAGCTGAACTTGATGCTGCAGAGAAACTGCGTAAAAAGGTAATATTGAAATTTAGCTCAGCTCAGCTTTACAGTCAGAGGGATCAACAGGGGGATTAAAATCCTGGTTGTACAGAGCCTCAAAGCGTACTGCTGATGTGCCATAGACGATTGTAAATCCTTTCACTGACAGTGCCAGCTAATGACTACATTGCAAGGGGTGGGTGGATAGTGACAGCAATTCAGCTGCTTCAGAACTAAAACCAAAAGGTACTGTATACTCATTAAGGATCCATAAACATCCTTGTTTATTTTATTTCACAGGATACATCCTAGTTTCTTTGGGGATGTAAATAAAAATACTGAATAACTAATATAACAAGAGTAAGTCAATAAATTAAGATCGTTAAACTATATAGGCAAATGGCATCTTCCAGGAGTTTTGGTCTTCAACTGTTGATAGCTCCTGTCTAGCATGGCCAATGGCCAGGGATTTTGGGAGCTGTAGTCCAATGTGGTGCTATGGATAGAGTGATGGACTAGGACTCTGGAGATCGGAGTTCAAATCCCAATTTGGCCATGGAAGCTCATGGTGGGTTGGGGTGGAACTGCTAAAATCACTCCTTAAATATCTCACTTACCTTGGAAGCCCTAATAGGGTTGCAATGTCAGCCCCAACTTGACAAAAGATAACTAACTAGTCCAGAAATTGTTGAGGACACAGGATTCTTTATTCTCCCTGTCTCTAAAAAAAACACCATACATCCTTTGGGGGAAAGTCTGCCCAAGTAAAAAATTTAGAATTTTTCCATAAGTATATTTATTTATGTTGTTTCCTACATACAATTACCACTTCCTAACTAATGCTCTCAAGAATGTCCCAGCTGTGAAGTAGACACAAATGTACTTTTAAAAAGTCTTTCCTATGTTGTGTATGAACATTTTTCATGTCAAGACCTGAGGGGCATCATTGTAGCCTTGTTACTAAATTCAGTGTCCAATTTCAGATCTCAAAAAAGTGGGCTGTGTGAAAATGCCCAGAGAGAGTGGGTGCTGGCAAAGATATGCAGATGAAACAGCAACCTGATATGAGAGCTGTTTCTAAAAAAGACTCATCATCACTGGGTCAGCAGTTGGCAGCCAATCAGTGTGAACACATGTAATGCCACATAATTATCCAAGCATGCATTTTGCTTGCTCCTCTGGATTCAACCTGAGGTGATTTATAGCTCCTGGTGTCATACTTCACCATGGGACTAATAGCTGTGACTGGCCTGAAAAAGTGGAACATATACCAAGCGCTAGGACTGTCTGAAGCAGTATTAAAAAAGAATTTGGGGTTGTGTTCTCTAGCTTCCAATGTCAAATGTAAATTTATTATTTACTGTGGTTTGAAGTGAAATCTTCAACAGGAGTATTTTGATTTGTGTGTTTCAAATGTATATTTGGGTCTATTCCTATTTTAGCTGAGATGTTTGGTGTGAAGAATTTTATAACAAAAAGGATTATGATATATTAGTTTCTTCCCTTTCCCCGCTTCAGATGTATTCCATAACCTGTGTCTCTTTTAGCAGCCATGTAATTATTTCTATCTCTGCATCTATACACACATGCACTTATAAAAAAACCTATATTCTATTTTTCTAAAATATCCACATGATATCTGGAAGTTGAGTCATGGCCACTGGACATCTGGTTGAAACATTTGGCTACTCATCCAAGGAGCTTCTCCAGTCTGAGTTCTCAGACCTAATAAGAAAGACGTCAAGTTGCCATGATTCAACTTTCAGATCTCACCTGAATGACTACCGTAGTTGCCAGTGTATAAGGCGACTGGGTGTATAAGACTACCCCCCAACATTCCCACTCAGAATGTAGAGTTTGTTATATACTTGCTGTATAAGACTACCCCCTCTTCCGCATGCATGATTCTGCTTTGGCTGCATCATAGGGAGAGTTCCTTTTGTCCCTTTTGGTTCCTTTTCGGAGAGAGCCAGGGTTTGCTCGAAGAAGGAACAGCAGAGAGGCGGCAGCCATTTTGAGATGCGACCACATGGCTGCTGCCTCTCAAAATGGCTGCCGCCTCTCTGCTGTTCCCCACAGTCAGCTGTTGGCGCTAAAGTCAGGCTGTTCCCAGGCTAGGAGCTGCTCTCCTCGGTCTTACTACTAGGTAAGGGACTTCGCTGGGAGAGAAGGAGGGTTTGCTGGACATGCACCCAGCGTACAAGACGACCCCCCCCACTTGGAGGCATGTTTTTCAGGGCCAAAAAGTCATCTTGTACGCCGGCAAATACGGTAAGCATTTTTCACAGGTATGTCCACATGATATGTGTTCCAACTACAGAATAGCTCGTTCTTCACTAGCTTTGTAGGCTCTGTATATCTACTGTCTTTCCCCACAAATTTATACCAACTGAACAGATGGTATAAACCATCTGGGGACTTTGTTTACCAATAAATGTCACATTAATGTTTAAATAGCAACGGCACTAATACTTCTGTACTTATGACACATACATTTCAAATTCAAATAATAATGATTCACTTTCAGGGAAAAGCAGAGGAGGCTTTGAAGGCGTTTGAATCCTTAGTAAGCAAGTATCCTCAAAGTCCACGGGCAAGATATGGAAAAGCCCAGGTAAATAGAAATCTGGCAGTGGGTTTGGGCTGTTAAAGGTTCCTCCTCTATCCTAAGGCTCCAAAAGGCTTTCCCGGGGCAAAAGAGAGCCCTATGGAGCCTCGGAACCTGAAAGGGGACAGGGATAGGAAGCTTTCAATAAATTTCAATTAAATATTCCTTTTGAGAATGATGATGTCATTGGATTTACACTTTGTGCAACGATTTCACTCACTCAGTGTCTCTTGTAAACTGCTAAATGTAATTTTAAATATCTTAAATAACTTGAGACAAAGTTAATCACTGGTTCTTAACCTTTGTTACTCAGATGTTTTTGGACTGCAACTCCCAGAAGCCTTCACCATCAGCTCTGCTGGCTGAGGTTTCTGGGAGTTGCAGTTCAAAAATACCTGAGTAACAAAGGTTAAGAACCACTGACTGCTGGCACCCCTGCAAAGATGCTTGGGTCCTTAGATTGTCCATAGAAACCAAGGTATCTATGTGGGTAAGATTTATTAAAGTGGCATACCCAAGAATAGGTGGCTTTTCTGAAGTGATCCATTCTTATGGACTGTGGATTCAAGATTGCTCCCTGACTTAAAGACCCGGTTGTTCTGGCACTGTTTTGAATTTCATTTTGCTTTTAATAAACAGTATTCTTAATTGATTTATATCCTATTGTTCAGTTATGCAAATGGAATGTATTTCAGAAGCAAATTTGTGGAAGTTAAGAAACCTCCATTGTGCAACTCAGTGTGCAATAGATAATGTCTATGGAGATTTCTTAACTTATGTCACTTCACTTTCCAAAATTACGATGTTTACAAAACTGCAACAGGATTTCAGCCACTGTTTCAGTATCTTACTCGATGAAGCACCTTGGAAAGGCTGTGTTTCCAAAAGCAGTACAGAAATATAAATGCGGGAGTGGTTCGTCCTGCTTTTTTAACAGCTAGCCCGGTCCAGAAGAAAGGGATAGGTGATGATAGTGTAATACTACCTTTCATGAACAGAAGAGGTTGGATCCTTCTGCCCCTTCTCCTTCAAATTCTCATATTACATAAAATTTGCCACTCGCTGTATATGTTCTAATATACTCCAATTTACGTAGCCCTTAAATATCATCAGTTATTCAGCACCCTCACCAGCTTGTCTGAAATTACACATTGCTATATTATATATAGCAATATTACATATTTATAGAGTTCCACTCTATAAATTCTGAAATAACTGCGGTATAACCACATACAAAAGCCAGGGTTTTGAAAGTTACTTTTTGTAGATTATTCCAGAAATAACCCACCAACCACCAGAGCTACCAACAGGCTGTTGGAGGTTTTGAGAATTGTAGTCCTAGCCTTGGTGCTTTCGGTATTATCCTTTGGCACACAGGAGGATAAATTCAGAAGGTATGGAGGTGATATTTGTGGCATCAGTAAACATGCAAAAATAAAGATATCAAAAGTGAAAGTGGTTTGAAGAAGAAATAGCAGAGGGAAGATCTGGGGGATCCAGAAGCCACAAAAATTGTTTTGGGAACCCCATGGAGCTTGTGGGCTACAGTATGTACAACCTTTACTCTAACTTTTATTAAAATTTCATAATATATGATACAAATAAAGTTGATTTTTTTAACATCAGCAACAACAAATTATGTTATCTTCAACAACAAAGATACGGCAGAGCTAAATTTACTAGTCATGGTTTGATGACAGAAATATTTACAGCAGTTCCAACAGTACAGTCAACCCTCGACTTAGTAGCCCGTTCCAGGAGGAAGTTTGTAAATCGAAAAGTTCGTAACTCGAATCAGCATTTTCCATAGGAATGCATTGAAAACCAATTAATCCATTCCGGCTGTTTTTGGTTCTTAGGTCGAGGGGTTGTTTGTAAGTCGAAGCATTAGTTCCCATAGGAACTAATTCAAAGCTGGTTAATCTGTTCCTACCACTAGGGGCAGAATTTTTTCTTTTTCTTTTTAAACCTAAGATGGCGTAGGTTAAAAAAAAAGCAGGAAACCACAGAGGGAGCGAACGAACACTGTTTAAAAAGAACACTTTTTAAAATCATGCACCTTTTACACCAAAACAGGCACCTTTTCAACCAAGCACCTTTTAAATCAAAACAAGCAGCTTTTAAAGCAACCAAGCATGTTTTTACCAAAGCAGATTTTAACTCAAACCTAGCTCCCTTTTACCCAAACATCGTTTAACCCAAACAAAGCACCTTTTAAACTAAATTTTACATTTAAAAATGACAATACCAGGCAGTCCCAGGCAGTCCCAGGTCTCTCTTCCCACTCTCTAACCGCTTGGATGAGCAAGGAAGCAGACAAGCAGCCTCTTCGCTAACTGAAAGTTCAAATTTCCCACTTTTGCTGCCTTCCCAGCACTTTTTTCTGTTCATAATTTGAATCCAAGTTCGCAAGTCGAGTCCATATTTTCCTATCAAAGCCGTTCATAAGTTGAAATGTTCGTAACTAGGGCCTTTCTTAAGTTGACAGTTGACTGTACAGGCATCTCAGGAAGTCAGGGCTTTGGGTCTTGGGGAACCTCTTTTGAAAATATATTCAGTTTTTAATTTAGTTCGGTTTTTAATTTAATTGTTGTGCTTGGCAAGGATGTTTAGGAAGTATTCTTATGTGCACTCCTTGTATGTTTTGATGTTTACAACCAAATTCTATTTTAAGATTCTGTGGCCAGTATCCTGTTGTGTAACTCCAACTCCAACTGTAGCTGGCTGCCATTAATTAAAGAATTCTTTTTTCTGCAGTTGCATAGTGCACACATTTGCACTCTTCAGAATTATGTGTCTTTGTTCACAATAATGTTTCAAAATTTTAAACATTAACTACTTTTCTGAAGAAATTTTTCAGTCACATATTAAAATCATTATCATGAACTTCCAACTAATTTAAAAGTATTTAAAGGCAGCTGGAGAAAGTGTGGCACTCCTAATGTTCTTGGACTGGAACTCCTATGTTCTTTCACCACTGGCCATGCTGGCTGGGGCCTACACAAGTTGCAATCCAGCACATCTAGAGAGCCACCCATTTCCCACATCTGGTTAAAGGTGAAAAAAAATGGCACATACCAATTTGGATACTGATGGATATTTTGTGGTCTTATGGACACAGAGTGAGGATGACCTGGCAGAGAAATTGAGAAGCAATGAAATTCTACAGAAAGCCATCAATACTTATGGAGAGGCAGCTAGTTTACCTAATGTCCCTGATGATCTGGTAAAACTGGCCCTGAAACGACGGGCAGACAGACAGCAGTTCCTGGGTAAGGTTTTAAAATCTTTATGTATCTGTGATTCAAATTTGTCCACTATGCAGGTTACACATCAGGACAATCGAGCGCTGAGGAACACCCATTTCTTTCATGATCTGCACAGTAAAAGACTTTGCTGTAGTCTATAAAGCATAGGTTGATCTTCCTCTGAAATTATTTTGTGCACTCCAATAGTCAGCAGATATTTGCCCTTGAATGCCTCTTCCTTTTCAGAACCCAGCTTGAACATCAGGAATTTCTCACTTCATATAAGGTAAAAGCCTTTGTTGCAACACCTTGAGCATCACTTTGCTTGCATGAGAAATTAGAGCAATGGCCCTATAGTTACTGCACTCCTTGGCATCTCCTTTCTTGGGAATTGGAATGTATATTGAGCACTTTCATTTTGTGGGCCATTGTTTTATTTTCCATATTTGTTGGCATATTCTTGTTAGGATTTTAAAGATTCAAATTCTGTGGCTTGAAATAGTTCTATTAATATTTCATCTACCCCGATGAATTATTTCTTCCTAGTGCTTTCAAATGAGCTTTCACTTCACTTCATAGAATTACAGATTTTTCTGTCATAGGATTCCTCTTCAAAGGAATCTGCCATCCTTTTATCTGTTATCCTTTTATTTTATTCTGTATAGGTCTTCAGTATACTCTTTCTAGCTTATCTTTATTTGCTTCCCTGTAAATCTGTCTGCATTCCTAATCTAGGCTTAAATTTCCCTTTCATTTCTCAGATCTTCTAGAAGAGATATCTTGTTTTTCCCCTGTTGCTGTTCTCCTCTATTTCTTTGCACTGGTTATTGTAATAACTCTCTATGTAGTTCTATGTGATAGAAAACTGTGCTGAAAAACTGCATTCAGGGTCCTGATCCTATTTTTCACCATTTACTTTTGCTTCTCACCTGTCTATTACAATTGTGTTTCTACTGTCATCCATCTAGGTTTTTCTTTACTTTTTTCTACACAAATTGTCTTTTTACATTCTTGCCTAATAATATCTCAGAACCCTTCACCACATTAAGATGTGCATTCAAGAAAGGAAAATTAAGATACTCATATTAAAATATGATTAAATGTAAACAGTATTAAAAACATTGTTAGTTAAAACGAATTTAAACAAATATTTCAGTATCCAGCAGTTAATAAGCTGCTATCAAGTATAGTACATCACTTTATTATCATCATCATCATTTTACACTCTGAGCATGAAACATTTTGTTTTCTGTTATGCACAGATCCAGGTTTAATTAAGGCTAAGAAAAAATATGTCATCTGTCAGATGTTTGGGAAATTCTGTAGTGGAAAAGATTTTGAAGAATGAAAAAGGACTCTCCCCCCCCCGCCCACCCCAAACTGCTGTACATGATCATAGTGTAAAGGTCGGCAGACCAAAGCTCTTGGCCTGAACCTAACTGGTAATCCCAACTAGCATAGACCCATGGAATTGATTGTATTTTTATATACTCTGCATTCACAAACTGCACTGTAGTTGAAATTGGCAAATGGATTTAAGCTGTTGTCTGTAATGCTGTATCCAGCTGGATTGTCCGTATAATTATAGAATAGTAAAAAAATTAAAAAATAGAAACACATCTCAACAACAAAAAAGTATTAATATAAATTCTTAGTGAATATTGTGAGTTGCTTTCTTCCCGTGAGTCTTAACTTTTTTCCCCCTATGGAGTTTGATTTCATGTATTGGTACCTGTTTTTGGACGTTTAGTTATGTTTTAAAAAACCCAGAAGTTTGACATGTGTGCTTTAAAGCATTGGAAATGAATTGTAGGTATAACTAATATGTGTTGTGAACTTCGTGAAGGAGCATCATTCTCCAAAAGATGCAATATGAAACATGCTATGTTTGTCCACAAGAGGTCTCCATAGTACTGGATGATACTTCTGTTTAGCTTGCTTAAATGAGGCACAGCTTTTAGTCCAGTTGTAAAGTCAGTGAGCTAAATATTTAAACAGTGATGCCTTGCAAGACGAAAATAATTTGTTCTGCAAGTTGTTTCGTATTGTGAAAATTTCATCTTGCGAAGCGCAGTTTCCCATAGGAATGCATTGAAATTTAATTAATGTGTTCCTATTCATCTTGCAAAGCATGGCTATAGAAAAATTTGTCTTGCGAGTCACCCAAAATTGCAAAACGCTTTCATCTTGCGAGGTTTTTTTGCACAAGGCATTCATCTTGTGAGGCATCACTGTACATAAAAAGGGGGAGTTGATGTAGTCTTCATTGGGCTGTGAACCACTATATTATGGATAGTGCAAAAAAAAAAAAAGCATATTAAAGTTCCAACAGTCCTGGCAGATGTTCAGGCCAGGTCTGCTTCTTAAAAGTGAGTTTCAAAATAGAGACTGCAAAGACAAGTAAAGAGTGAAAGAGTGGTTTCAAACTCAGCCCATGGTGGCTGTTGGTTGGATTGTCTCCCCCAACTCACCAAACAAAGGGCTTTCCCATCCTCCACTCACTTTATTTTGAAACTCAAGGTTTCCATTTTACTGGAGAATGGGATTACACAGAAATGTGTGCTTGGAAGTCATTTTTAAGACACAGACAGATCTGGCACAGGCATCAGCTATGACCTTTGGAACCTTGATATGTCTTTTTGTGCACCATCTGCAATACATTGGTGCCCAGCCTGATGAAGACTAGTAGAAGTCAAAATATAGCACTTTTTGTTGTTGTTGCTAGTGGTCTAATAAAGGTATCACCTGCCCTTGCTTTTGTATTGTGTAAGGACCATATTTGTTTTTGTGTGTTTTTTTCAAATATACACCCTTGTTCACATTCACATCAGGAAGTGACTCTCACAAGTGTCTAGATCTCCCAGGGGAACAGAGGAAGAAGGTCCTCTCTTTTTCTCATGGTGAGAGTTTGCTGCACAGGACTGATAGAATGAATTATGGCATCTTTAGAGAGTTTCCCGGCCTTTCATTCCAGAAGAGATGACAACATACATAGTATTTTGCAATCCCCAAGCAGAATGGCATTTTTCCTGTGTAGGGTTAACTCAGAAAGGTCAGGTTAACAGGCAAAAGTGCAAAGGATTATTTATTTATTTATTTATTTAGATTGATTGATTGATTGATTTGATTTATACCCCACCCATCTGGTCTTCCGACCACTCTTATCACAATTTCTGCACAGAAAGCTATCTCTCCTGGGCAGGATTCAGTGGGAAAGACATCAAGCTGCATTGAATTTGACAGTCTTCTGTCCAGTAGGCAAGTAACAGAACAAAACAATGTATGAGGAAACAAATCCAGGGACTTGTTTTTCTGAGAAGATGAACAATATTATGGATGCAGGCAAGGGGTTTTTCTGGGAGACTCAGGAAAATGAATAACAATAAGAAGGATTTATTTAATATTAATCATCACTGCCCAAATCACTGCCTCTTGTAACTACTTATTTTGTTCAATCTAATTAGGACGCATGAGAGGTTCACTGGTTACATTACAAAAACTTGTGAATATGTTTCCTAATGATACTTCATTCAAGAACAGCCTTGGAGTGGGTTATCTTTTGATTGGAGACAACAGCAACGCCAAGAAGGTTTATGAAGAGGTGAGTCCGCGTTAAATATGTGTAAAAATTTCTTTAAAACAAAAAGCACTACTAGTTATGCCCAAACCTGATAAACGTAAGAGCTATGCAACTTTGAAAACTTTGATTGAAATGAAATTACTTACATCTAGGTAACATGTCATCACTTTATGGATTATTTTCACAAGTCCAGATAACATATTTTCATCTTCACAATTCATCACATGATTAGATTATGTATGATTTCTCTATTGTTCAGGATTTCCTGTTTATAGGCTCTTGTTTGAATATCATGACGTTCACTTTTTCCAGTCTAGCTACTGTGCCCCCCACATATTAACCAGATGGTGAATATGTGAATAGGATTAAATTACAGTATAGCTATGTCTACTCAAACAAACATGGGTTTGTTACAATACAACTGAAGGAAAATGAAGCCAGTTGAGAGTGAAGAAAGTGCTTCCTGAAACATGTTATTCTAGCCATTTGGGATAGTGTGCTAAGTGGACTGATGTCACAGTGTTAGGTAGTCAACGAGATTTGTAAATGAGAGAAGGAAGAAAGAGAGAGAGAGAATGCAATATAAATGTATAGTTGAACATTTTGATGGGCATTATAAAAAATAAAAACTGATAAATCAAACATTTTTTAAAAAAATACAATGGGTACGTCACAGACAAGATACAAAGATACCCCGGCCACATAGTTCATGAACTGAGGCAGATGTTTTAATATTTAAACACTTATGTTTAACTTGAGATTTTTACAATATTTGAAATAGAGAGGGGTACAAACCAGCATCCATACCAGTTTGTTGTTCAGCTCCAAGTGATGTTCAGCACTTTCCAACCCCTCCTCCTCCAGCAGGCACCCACTCAAGCACCCTGCCTTCCCTGTCCCGCCTCCTCCAGGCACCGTCTCTGAGTGGCTTCTCACCAGAGGAGGCAGGGCTGGGAACCACTGAACAACCGGTTGGCCAAAGAAACAAACCAGCACGAACTGCCAAACCAGCGGTTCCTGCCCATCTGCAGTTTGAACTATTAAAAATGTTGTAAAGATTTAAACAAAGTTTTAGTTGGTAGCATTCTAATCTATTCAAATTAGTAATATAGTATACCAGGATATGTTATATTCCAAGACCATGCAAAAGGAGACTAGATAATGAAGGACATTGTGCGACTGCAGCATTGCCTGAAGGCATATGATGGACCAGCTGCTTTTGGCCAATCAACAGCAAAGAATTCCTGTTCATTATTTTCTTTCCCCTTCTCTCTTCCCCTTGTCTCCATTGACCAAAAAAATACCACAGGAATGAGGACAGTTTTAAGGTAGTGACAGCAGCAGAAGTGGCAGGAAGTAGAAAAGTAACTTTGAAGAAACGACTGCTTTCACAGTTGATCTAAATAGTCCATGCTTAATATCTTTATCCCCCTCCCTTTTAAATTCTGTTGTGAACTGAAACACTGAAACTTAAATCAAAGAATTTCACGTCCATAGTCAAAATCCAGCCTGATAGGAAATGTGTCCTATTTGAGGGAACAATTTTCTCAGGACCTCCATTATATTACAGTTGAAAGCAGTGTCAGAAAAGGGATAGCATTTCATTCCTCAACCTCCTTAGTTTCCTTTTGAATCTCATTGTCTGGAACTTAGACATGATGCATTAAATATGGTCTTTGTTTAAAAAAAATCAAAGCTACTTTTTTTTTCAAAGAGTAATAGATCTTGGTTTGACTTTCTTCAAGGGATTCTTCTGTAGAAAAAGAAATCTGAAGATGTGTCTTTCTTTCCCACTGTGCCATAGATCGAGTAGTGTTCTAAAGTTTGTTCTGGTCTAACAATTGAAGGAAATGTGGTAGCAAGGAAGAATTCTCCCTTCCATCCCAAGAAATAGCTTTTGTTTTGCACAGCTTGTGACATGATCTGGTGCAAGCTATTTTCCAGCAATCAGATTACATACAGGAGTTAGCGAACCAACCTGACCCTGCTTTGTACCCAATTAGTACATTTTTGGTTCAGCGGCAGGGTTATTCTGTTCTGGAGCTGGACTGTATACATAGAAGGGTCACTTTAGGGAGTAACATTTTCCAGCACAACCAGATGTAATCCTTTATTGTAGTTTGATTGCACTCTTAGTTCACTTTCCCATACAAGGCTGGGTCTGATGTTGTCATTCCAGTGATGGAACTAGGAGAGGGAAAGTTCACTTCCATTAAAACAACACTCAAAAGTGCTACAATAAAATACTTTGAATGATAATGTGATTACTGTAAATACTGCAAAACCAGAGTTCAAATGGAACTTCAGGAGAACTCAGCTGTTTAGGTATCTGGCTGCTGAGCCAGAGGATAGGAGTTCAATTCCCCACTATGCCTCTCTGATAGGGATTGGACTTGATGATGCGTAGGAACCCTTCCAACTCTGCAATTCTAAGATTATACCTGTGATATTGGCCTGAAGTACATAAACGTACCTTTCCACACAAAGGCCAAAATCCTACTGTGCATCCATGTGCAACTCAGGGTTATACACATAGTAGTTAGTTGTGTGAGCCCAGAGGCAGAAATGCTGTCCCTGAAGCACTTCTGCTGGCATGTTGTGTAGTTGATTATGCCAGGGATGTTAAACCTATTGTGTGATTGAAGGGGCACACATTGTAATGCCCAACACGTTTACGCTGGAGTAACTTTACATTATGCTGGCATGGATGTTGGCCAGCATGTAAACTTCTACACAATTCAGGCTCAGATTTTTAGAAATTCTACTCAGTATTTCAAGGTAGTGGTGAACAGAAAGTAGATCAGGGTCTAACAGTAGACCTCTCGGCCAGTTACATTAAATTGCAGAGAATTTCTTAGTTCTCAGTTTTTCACCAGGAGTCAGGCACTTTTTGTAAATGTGTGGACAGAATATTAGCTCAGTTCTGGTACAAAAACAAATTCCTGGACTCAGCACATGTTCCAAAGTACAGTGTGCCTCGCTTAACGGGCGCCCTGTTTAACGATGAAATCACATAGCAATGAAGATTTTGCGATTGCAAAAGTGATCGCATTGCGATGTTTCGCTTACCGATCATTGCAAAGCGATGATTTTTAACAGCTGATCAGCTGTTCCAAAATGGCCGCCGGGTTTTCTGGGATGGATTCCTCGCTTACCAGGCAGCAAAAATGGCCGCTGTATGGAGGATTTTCGCTTTAAGGTGAGTCTGAAGCCCATAGGAACGCATTGAAGGGGTTTCAGTGCATTCCTATGGGCTTTTAAATATCGCATAACGACGAAATCGCTTTGCGGCAATTTTTGCTGCACCGATTATTGTCGCTATGCGAGGCACCACTGTACCTCTTTAATTCTAAAATTATGGTGCTCTCCACCTGACTCCAGATGGTGATACTCAAGGTACTATTAAAAACCCATGTTTTATAGCTTGGGAGATATGACTCTCAGCAATGTGACCTCAAAAGTTCAAACTCACCTGAGTTTATTTCACAGTACACAGGAAATCTATAATACTACCTTGCAAGGCAGAGAAGTTGGGCCTTGCGATTGACTGTCTCACTGTTTTGGGAGTATAGTCACGCATGTCCCATAAGGTATACATCTGGCCTTAGATAAACAGGTGAAGTAACAGGAGTTTCAGACCACTGATGGAAAGAGTACTGGTTTGGAACCATTACAATTCTTAATAAATTACTAGTTCTTTTTAAATACAACAAATTAATGTTCAGTATTGCCACAAGGATAAGCACTATATGGATTTGTTTTGCTCTCCACAGGTTCTGAAGTTGGCTCCAAATGATGGCTTTGCTAAAGTGCATTATGGCTTCATTCTGAAGGCAGAGAACAAGATTGAAGAAAGCATTCCCTATCTGAAAGTAACATTTACATTATAATCTTGCTATTTTTGTTCTTTTGAAAAGCACAGTACATGGGGGTGGAATGCAGAATCAATGTTGTATCAATTTTACTTTAGAAATTTATTAAAACAGTGTTAATCTATATTCCTGTATAAATATCAAACTCTTTTTTCCAGTTTAGGATATGTGGTTAATTATTTATCACTGAAACAGAAGGGATTATAGGTAGCTGACTGTAACTCACTACACTTTCATTCAGCATTCATTCATTCATCTTCTTTTCTTATAGAAGACACTGGAAGTACATGGTAAAGTGAGGAACAGCTTGTGGACAGCATAGTAAATCAGGGAGCAACAGGATAATTGACTTACTGATTTTAAGCATCTGTTGGTGTTTGCTGTGTGATTACTTCTACCTGCAGCAAGAATGACCAAATAAATCACAGCGCTTAGCACATCATGGATTGGACAGGGTGCACCAACAGGCTGCTTGTAACTGGTAAGCCAGAGTTCCCTAGATTATCATGCCATTCAGATCCACCCATCCTGGCTGGAAACAGGAGCAGTAAGAGTATATTTAGAAGTAGGCCATACTATAATAATAATAATTAAGGTAAGTGTGAATTCTTTTTAGAAAGGGCTATATCATCACAATTATTCTGTATATTAATAGTGAAGCTATTCTCTGAATGTTGATAATCAAAACAATATCAGCTATAGACAGGAGGGAAGTGTGAGCAGGTGACCAAAGACTGGCAGAAATACCCCAACTCAGAAAGGAAGAAGGAACCTAAGGCAAGGAGGCTTCAAATAGTCTGTGAAGACGAATAATTCTGACTGGCTTTGGGTTGGAAAATAGAAAAATAGGGCATAGGGTGGGTGGGATGGCATGATAATCCAGGGAACCATACCATTCTAGAGAACAATATGGCTGGTTAGCAAAATGATTTTTAGCAGTTGCCACTTGTTATTAACAGTAGAGATGCGGGTATTTGATTGGTGGAAATAATGAGGGTTATTCTGCTGCTGATGCGAGCTCCTGGCAGGAGATGGGATGACAAGCCTCTCTGCCAGGTCTCAGAGTGGCTAATCCATTGCAGACAATGGCACGATAGGAAGGCTCTGTCGAGCTCATGTCAGTGGTGGAATGGTGAGTGGACAGTCCGCCCCCATGGGGCCAGACCCTTGTCATTTCCACGAATACCCCATCTCTAATTAAGAGTAATTACACTCATTCATGTGGAATGAATTTATAAGCTATCTTTAAAAACTAAGGGCTTGTCCAAAGAGAACATTTCTTCCTCTATCACATATTTGCAGCAGTTGGTGCTTCTTGGTCCTTCATGTTGATGAATGAGTACATATCTTATCTGGGTTTCTGTCCACACTTACTTCAAGAACTCCAACAGTCTTGTGTTTAAGAAATCAGCATATTTTACAGAAATGATTCAAAAATATTTTTAAAAGCTTGAATAAACACTTCAAAAAGATTTTTTTTTGTTCTAGAATTTTAGAAGTAGATTAGCAGTCACATTGGAAGCTTCCAGACTGATACCTTGATAGCAGACATCCCCTGCTAATCTACTTTGAAGACCCACTGTCTTTTGAAACAACTCTTTCAATATTGTTTAGGAAGCCTTTAAAAGTTATCTTCTCTGCTGGATTTTGGATTTCTTGTTGTTTTAGATTAGCACTAACTTGAGTACTTTTTTCCTGAGATGTAATTTGCCCCTGATTCGAAATGAAACAAAAACAAACAAACATGTACAGGAGGTGGTTTTTATGAAGATCCATACTTTTGTCATTTTTTTGTCAATGTTTGATTTAACACTTGTGCCATCTGGAAATTGGGATAAATACTGTCATCACTGCATGGTACAGTGCTTATAGGGAACAAATGCTCCATCTCGCTGAGTTCTACACGAGGTGTATGTTTATACAGCTGACTTAATGGTTTTCTTTCTTCTAGGAGGGTCTAGAATCAGGAGATTCTGGCACCGATGATGGACGTTTTTACTTTCATTTGGGTGATGCCATGCAGCGAGTTGGAAACAGTGAGGTAGAGTGTATCAGAGATGCATTGAATTTAATCTGAAATGACAAAGGGGGGATCTGAGTTGGGGGTTTGGCACAAATGGTTCCTGAATTAAGAACATGTACAGGACTGGAAAGAAGCAAAGTACAAATAGATTTATGGACGCCAAAAGGAAATGAGGAAGCAAGAGATTCAAAGGCTTATCTGCAAATGAGCAGAAATGGGTAGATAATCGAAGTAGGTCATAGACAGAACATTTCTCACTTATCAACTCTGCCCTGCCCTTGGCCACATATGCTTTCTGCAATGGCAACTGTTTGAGAGGGAATGAGGTCAGGCATACAAGGAAGGCCTTGTCTGAGGAAGCTACGAAGCAATAGATAGAATGGTGGTAGGATCCTAGAAACAGAAGCTCCTGGATAGACAACACTGATGGCATTTTCAGTAGAAGAGAGTCTATTGCCTGTTTTAGCATCTAATGATTGATTTTTTCAAACCACTCCCTCCAAAACAAGTGCAAATGGTGGAGAGGGCTGCCACTGGTAACATACTAAGGTTATAGGAGGGGCATCTAATTTCTATGTTTTCCAAGAAAAGATGCCCTTCTCTTTACTACCTGGTTCAACAACTACATAAACCATTCCTCTAGGGCCAGAGGTCCAAGGGCTGCGCCCACCTGTCTCTAGACATTGAAGGTCTAGACCTGTTCCTATGACTTTTCCAGCCCCAGAATATTTTTCTTTAAAAATGTTTCTTTAAACTGAAAAACTTTAATGCCCTCTAGTGGCCCATAACAATGTTTTGCTTTTTTTAAAAAAAATCTAGGAGTGGGATTCATTCATTCATTCATTCATTCATTCATTCATTCATTCATTCATTCAGGACTTCAAATACCATAATCCTTTGTTCTGGGAGTTCTACCTACTTTTCAGGGACTATGCAAAGACACCTGGGAGAAAGGCCTAAATTAGAAAGCTTTGAGGCTTAGCTTGCCCAAATTCTGCTGAAGCTTCCTTCTCAAAGAAAGCTCCTAGTTAGCACTGGATCAAGAACAGGAAGCTGTCATGAAATGAATAAATGGGTTTATTTATTCATAGTTAGCGGATAAAGTTTGTGTGAGCAAAAATTGGTTTCATGAAAAATGAACAGTGAAACATAGTGTTGAACTTGTCATTCTGAGACCTGTTTTTGAGTTAGAGAATGTAGCTGGAAATGCTGAAATTCAAGATTTAATGAAGGCAGGAAGTCGATACATAAACATCTGTAATCACCCTTACTGATGGTGCACATTCATCACCTACGGCTACAGTTAAGACTAAGAGTTTTTGGCACACAAGCAGTTCTATAAAGAGCACTATTACATAGCTAGTTTGACTTTAAAATAAAATGCACTGAATTACTTTTAAATGCTCTCTTACCTACATGCCATTGGGAAAATGCCATAAATATGGCAGGATGCAATTAAAAACTGGGCATTGGCATACAGAGGGCTCATCTGCCTGGTGGCAGGATGTCTGGTAAGGCTTTTCTTGGCCTTTCACCACTCCTCAGCAGAGAGCATTGGAACAGATTGAGCCACTTCACTCAGCATTTCATTGCTACCTTGCTGTTAAATGCTCAGAAATGGTCCTTTGGCTTCCTGCCAACCTAAATGACTGCTACTCGTTATTCCTACCTTAAATCCAACATCATGTTAGCTTTAGCATTAGGGTTTTCTTTTAGTTTCTCTGGCAGCTCTTCACACTTCCCCAAAGCCTTCTCTAAAGATTTCCCCAGCTGTCCAGAGCAAGTTTTCAGGGCACCAGAAGGGTTTGCTAGGTAGGGGATTGCCACTTTCTTGATTCCACTAACAAAGCTGCTCTGTTAGCAGAAATACTGTATGTCTTCGATTCTTGGCTTTTGTTCCCATGTACTATTTGAAAAACAAACTGTTGTAGCTCTTTGGCATCTTGGAACAATGAGCACGAAAGATCCCCTGCTGGAGCCTTTCAGAGCAAAACATTAAAGCTATTTCCCTTCCACGTTCACATTCTACGTTAAAAATCCAGAGAATATCATAACTCATGTTACTACAGGTAGCAGATACCTAAACCACTGAGCTATCCAGTTAGCTTATTCAGCCTAAAAAACAAATTTAGGGTGTACTCTCTATGAAAGGTAACGTACTATACAACAACCACAAGCAAAAGCTCAAACCATATTTTCTCTGCTATCCCATTTATCACCATTGTTGCTCACAGCCTCAGGTTCTTAGTGCCTTCTGCAGCAATTCTTTCTCTTCATAGCTGATTAGAGTTAGTACATGCTAGGCGAACACCCAAGATATGACAAGCATAAAGGAAATATGAATATGAAACTCTCTGCACGTAATTCTCCCTCATTTCTTCATGCACAACATAGCTATCTTTAGAACATGTCTTAGAACGGCAGACCATTCAGTAAACTTGAAAGTGACTTGTGTCACCTTCTTTATGAACTAATCCCTAGTTAGTGTGACATTTGAGAATTAGTGGAGATTTGCTGATATGCATGGAGATCTGCTGTCTTTTGTTTATTTTTGGAAGGTTAGGCAACATATCAAAATGAATTGCTTTGCTATATGATAAACTGTTGAAAATTAACATAAAATATTATTAAATGTGTGATAGAAACATGTAAGAAAGGGGCAACAAACTCTGTATAAATAAATTGTTAAATCTAATTAACTAATTAAAATCAGATCTGATGAGATGTACCAAATGAAGCACTTATCTCAGAAATGCTCTTGCAAAGGAATTTGCCTCTCCTTACCAGGGCATTTTCCTCCTGCCTTCCTCCCTCTGCTCTACCCCCCAAAGTGCTCCTGAGGGCTAAGGAATCCCTAGGAAGTGTATAAAATCTAAGATGGGATGTTGTAGTGGGAGGAAAGAACCAAGGGAAATTGTACAGAGATAGCTTGCACAAAGGGAGGAGAAAATTCATTATACTAGTTTCATTGTGCAAATAATGAATTGAATATAATCCAAAATATCTTTCTTTTGCCTCTGAATACAAAAGCTTTCTGCTGATGTTTTAAATAGGTTTCCCCTCAAGCATTTTCTATAAACAAAAGACTCCATGCAAATGGCTGCAGTGTGGGAATCTATTTAATCCTTGTAGTTTAGTTACAAATCTATTGTAACCCTGTAGCTCATTGGCTAGAATCCTGTTGTGCAACTTTACAGTGTGCAGCTCAGGTGACATCATCAGCTATAGACATTTTAGGGGACTTAAAAGTTTCCTGTCTCCCATCCCCACCGGGGTTTGGGGATCCTTAGGGAACCTTTTCATTCTGGGAAGCCTTTGGGAGCTATGGAATCGGTAAGGGAACTCTCTAATGCCTGAAAATCACCACTGTTGGTCCCTGTTTTCTTATCAGTGGTAGCAAAGTATGTGCAGATGATAAATATGAGGACAGCTGATGTAGTTGTTGGGAAATGGTGTACATAGCTGGTGCAGTTTGGGATGAGGTTATAATGCATGTCTTGTTCTGTAAATGATCTGTAAATGATGTCTATGATCTGTTCCAGTTCAGATGACCATTGCTTCCCAATAAATACCAATAAACCTTCAATCACAGGAAGCTGATAAGAAAAGATTACCCTAAGACAGCACATATGTGTGCAAAATGACAGACAAAAGTGATTGCACACTCCCTTATAATTTCACTGCATAACTTTTCAGATCATTCCTGTATTTTTATAATCATACTTTAACTAGATAGGTGAAACGAGGTAGAACACTGCAATTTTAAGGAATACGGAGGGCCAAGAGTGAGATCATATGCCAAAATTAACCAAACAAACACCTTCCTAGTTGGAAAGTGGAATCTAACCCTTCTTGCCTTGCTGTCCCACAGTGATTTCATTTATGGTTGGCTGCTCAAAGACAAGTGTTGGAAGCCACCTTTGAAAGGAAGTAGAGGGCTGAACTTGCATGAAAGGAAAGAAAGCATACTCGTTAGGAATCTGAAAGAAAGCTAGGAAACTGTCCCAATGGATTTTTATCCTAGGGATCAATCAGGTTTGCTCCTTCAGGACATCCATTCCACCCACCATGTTAAGGGATGTAACTGTGAAGGAATCATATGATGGGACAGCTTACACAAAGGAGCTGCTGTGCCATAATATCTTCTTATTTCTGGACCTGGACTAAAGCAGAGATGAGCAACCAGCAGATACGTCAGTACAGCTCCTGACAGCTTCCTCTGCCAGGGACAGATGAATAATACAGTTCTTGCCAAGTATGCACTTTCAGATGCTTTCCTTTCTCAAGCAGAGAGTGATCCACCTCCTTGTCTCCCAAGTCCTGAGTGTTTTGAAAAGCCCTTTGAAACTGTGGGTCCTTTAATGAATAAAGAAACCGTACTGACAATTTGAGAGGTTTCCACAAAGATATTCTCTAGAGATAAAGCAGATGGAATTTTCTGCAGAGGACAACGCAGTCTAACTAGTGTAAGTAAGTAAGTTGTTAACACATTCCAATCTTCCAGGCATACAAATGGTATGAACTTGGACACAAGCGGGGTCATTTTGCATCTGTCTGGCAGCGCTCTCTTTACAATGTCAAGGGCTTAAAGGCTCAGCCGTGGTGGACAGCAAAGGAAACGGGTTACACCGAACTGGTCAAGGTAAGCAGCACTGTTCTCTTTATTATACAGTTGCAAGGCTAAGCAGATTTTCAGGCTATGGTGTTGTGTGTGCATATGTGGGAGTAAGCTCCACTGGACTCAGTGAAACATATTTCTGACTGAGGCTAGGTGATTCTGTCATTTTTTCTGTTTCTATCCTTTTCCCATTTTCTTGATTTTAAAAGAACTAGCTGGGTTAAATAAAATAAAGAAGACAAAAAAGTTGCAGTACCTTAAAGACTAACCGCTGTATTTTAATGTGAGCATTCAAGACAAGTCCACTTCCTCAAACTTGTCCATGAATGCTCACATTAAAATATAGTACTTAGTTTTTAAGGTACCACAAGGTTTTTGTCTTCTTTATTTTTTTTTCTTTTGTTTTGTCTCATTTTCCACATCCATTTGGAACCTCTTTAGAAAACCCCATAAAAATTAATACAACTTCCGTGGATACTCCTAACATATGCATTTCAGAAAAAAATTGTCCCTAATTTACTCATGTTTGCAAGTGCCTTAATATGATGCATATTTCTATGTTATTTTCACTAACTAAGCATGTCTGTATATATTTTGTTTGACTTGAGACCTGAATCTTAACACGTGGAGAAGTGTTAATGCCAAAAGACATAGTATTTCTGTTCGTTCTAAAATACTTCCTCACGCAGTTTAACAGATTGCTCTGTGTTCCTTGCTTCTTGGTAAGCATGATCAGACATCAATAGAATTCAAACCTTTAAAACCTGAGGCTGTCAACTCATCTAGAGTCCATTGTATAAAATACCTTCTGCTCCTTCTGCCAATCACCACAACAATTGGGACAGATAATTGCTCAACCCTAATCCAGACTGTTTTACAGCTATGAACTGGAGGGAATAGATTACAAAGATAACAAACACAAAAAAATACATGCTGTTCATCAGGTGAAGATGGCTGTGATAACTCAGTAATTCACACCAGTTACTGAGAAGCAAGACTTAAATTGCTGAATGTTATAATTCGTGCATAACAATCCAATCCTTCCTTGTGCTCTCATTAACTTTTGACTAGGACATTTAATAGCATAAGGTTGGCAATGTCAGGCCAGCAGAATAAATACAAAAGTCTGACTACTGAATGAATTTATCAGTTTTTGTAGCTTTCCACTTTGACAAGTAGATTATTTCCTTGACTTGAGAACTTAATCCGTATTGGAAGGCGGTTCTCAAGTCAAAAAGTCTGTAAGTCAAGTCTCCATTGACCTACAGTGCATTGAAAACCAATTAATCCCGTAACAGACCATTTTTGTTCCATTTTGGTTTTTTTCTGGTCTGTAAGTCAAATCTCAGTCTGCAAGTCAAACCTAAATTTTGCGGCCAGAGAAGTCTGTAACTCAAAAAGTCTGTAAGTCAAGCCGTCTGTAAGTCAAGGGTCCACTGTAGATTATTTGTAATCACTACTCTGTGGTTCTTAAAGTACAGTATAGACTCTGTTATTAAAACTTACATTTCAAGTAAATGACAATGCCGCTTTTCAAAATGTCAGTTGATGGGGTTTCTGTTTCTATTTTATCTGTATGAACAATTCATTGCAGAGACATTAGGGACCACTGTCTATTTAGTTTGTGTCTTTGCCTGCTTTTACTTAGTATTCTGCATTAATGAAAAATTCATGTCCTCTCTTGCAACAAAATAACACACATTATTTAATTTTGATGCAGCTCTCCAGGCAAATGTTGATTTAAAATGCTCTGAATTTCCCTGAATGGAATATATTCAGTTCTGAGCACTTACAACATTCCTTTATATAGAGGTTTAGTTCCTCACTGTTTCTGGAGGAATTGTTCAGCTTTCCTGTTAGAAAATTCTGCTGAATATAGTGGGGCTTAGGCTGAGATCACACCATTGAATGTTACTGTGAGCTTCTTAAATCCTTTCTGTGGTCCATGTGGGAGGGAGGGTTGATGGATGGAACCCAGACACATAGGAGAGATTTTTTTTTCCTGCTACTGTTTAGCCCAGAGCAGGCAGGGCTTGTTGTATTGAAATGCCCCATAGAAAACAAAAAGCAAAGTGTTCTGCTCATATACCACTCCATAGTGCTCGGAGCACTCTCTCATAGAAGAGAATAATGCAGATCTCTTGTAAGGAGCAAGAGTGGTAGTCTCTGATTTCTAAGACATATTTGATCACATATTGGGCTCTCTCTCTCTCTCTCTCTCTCACACACACACACACAGAGAGAGAGAGAGAGAGAGAGAGAGAGAGAGAGAGAGAGAGAGAGAGAGAGAGAGAGAGAGAGAGAGAGAGAGAGAGAGAGAGAGAGAGAGAGAGAGAGAGAGAGAGAGAGAGAGACCTGTGTGGCAAAGTAGAAATGGCCACATTCAAAAACCACTTGAAAGAGTCAGAAGTGTAGCCATGGAGGAACTGGGATGTACAGTATTTATTTCCTAGTCCTTTGATAAAAACTGTAGTGGAGAAGATGCAAAACATAATCCACCTCAAAGTCATTGCAGGGGCAGCATCTTATATTCTTTGGGATATTACTGTGTCTGCCATCTAATAAACTAGAAGGGAGGACATTAAACCGTGCCAAAGAAAAAGCCTTCCTATATTTAGGAACAATTAACTATTAAATAAAATAACCTGCATATATCCTGCAGCCTCCTTTTAAAAATTGATTTTGCTCCCTTTAAGCTCATGGACTTGATAAATTCTTTGAAAAGACTGTTCCACCCACAGCTATTAGCTGAAGTGATTCATAAGAATCATACATAATTTTGAAGGTCAGGGAGTTAGGAATAAACATAATGGCACCCAAAATGGATCAAATAAATTCATGCTAAATATTTTAAAGAGACTAGTCTCCAAATTGAGAGGATCTCCAGCAACAACCTATGAACCACAAATAATGCCCTTGGGGGGGGGGAAGCAAATTATTTCAGTAGGGAAATCAGTGCTTGAAAGAGAGTCTGAAAAAAAATTTCAGCTTTAAAAATCAAAATAGCTGCTGGAAGAAATTTGTCAGCATTCACAAAACTGATTAATGCTTCCAATCTTACAGTCACATTAATCTTGGTATATTTTTCTTGTACCCTTCAGCCTACAGGTCCATGGAACCACACACCCACATATTTACATTAATCATCTTGTTCATCTATGCTTATATCCCAAGAAAATCTAGGTTCTCTCACACAGAAAAAAACCCAATGTTATCCTTTTGGCATAGTTGTGAAAAGGTTATTCTCACAGTAACAGCACCTGAAATCTTGTTAATCTTCATATTTAGCCACTCTGACTTCTGCATTTTCACTTGCTTATACTGTACATAAAAACAATATGATTCTGGCTCACATTTGTAGCTGAGCTTCAGCAGGTAGGAGCCAAGACAGCCTCCCCTCATATTTGTAAGTATCCTTTCATGTGGATATACACAAAAAGGGGAAAGTGGGGGGGATTAAATAATGCTTTTATTAAACATTCAAGAGAACTGGACAACCATTTGTCAGATCTGCTTTGACTTGGATTCCTGCATAGAGCACGGGGTTGGACTTGATGGCCTTATAGGTCCCATCCAACTCAATTATTCTATTATGATATTAATGATAGGATAGGATACAATATCATGATATGATGTCACATCAGAGATTTATGACTTTTGATTTGACACAGTGATGGCTTGTTGTTGTTTAGTTGTGTCTGACTCTTTGTGACCCCATGGACTAGAGCACACCAGGCCCTCCTGTCTTCCACTGCCTCCCGGAGATTGGTCAAATTCATTCTGGTAGCTTCAATGACACTGTCCAGCCATCTTGTCCTCTGTTGTCCCCTTCTCCTCTTGCCTTCACACTTTCCTAACATCAGGGTCTTTTCCAGGGAATCGTCTCTTCTCATGAGATGGCCAAAGTATTGGAGCCTCAGCTTCAGGATCTGTCCTTCCAGTGAACACTCAGGGTTGATTTCCTTCAAAATGGATAGGTTTGTTCTCCTTGCAGTCCAGGGGATTCTCAAGGGTCTCCTCCAGCACCACAATTCAAAAGCATTAATTCTTCAGCGGTCAGCCTTCCTTATGATCCAGCTCTCACTTCCATACATCACTACTGGAAAAACCATAGCTTTGACCACGCAGACCTTTGTCGGCAAGGTGATGTCTCTGCTTTTTAAAATGCTGTCTAGGTTTGTCATCGCTTTCCTTCAAAGAAGCAGGCTTTTTTTTATTTCGTGGCTGCTATCACCATCTGCAGTGATCATGGAGCCCAGGAAAGTAAAATCTGTCACTGCCTCCATATCTTCCCCTTCTATTTGCCAGGAGGTGATGGGACCCATGGCCATGATCTTAGGGGGGGTTTTGTGTGTGATGGGACCCATGGCCATGATCTTAGGGGTTTTTTGTGTGTTTGTGTGTTTTTATGTTGAGCTTCAGACCGTTTTTTGCACTCTCCTCTTTCACCCTCATTACGAGGTTCTTTAATTCCTCACTTTCTGCCATCAGAGTTGTATTTTTCTTTCAATAGCAACAAAGGAGACTCACTTTCTGCCATCAGAGTGGTATTTTTCTTTCAATGGCAACAAAGGAGATTTTTTTAAATAATTGTTTTCATGTGCTCTATTTTTAAGTAGAAAACACAAAAGACACAAACTCCCCCCCCAATTTACATATGTACTCATGGCAATATAATTAGTCTAGTTAATATTTGCCAACTACAAAAAAGATAAACTTAAATGAAGTTCATGAAACATTATGCTGAAGCAATGCAGTGATATAGTACCATAGGATGTCATATACCTAGTGCTCCTGGCAACTGGTTTTATCCTTGCTGCTTTGTATTCACAACAGCAAGTGCCTTTGCTGATTCAGACATATTTTTTTGTTTTAATCAGTGTTATACTTTGCATGCCTAAGGTGACTGACACAATTTGAAACTTTGCCAAAGGAATTAAAAGTGTACCTTGTGCTGATGTTTGAGAAATATGTTTATAGCCTTCAAATTTTCAGCGTTAGTGCTCCATAAAATTATTTCAATA